ATTTTGGGAACTACCCATGTACAGATCTCCCCTAGCTCTAGGACTCTAGGCCCCCTTCGACCCCTCTAGGCTTCAACCCACATAGGAGTTTCGCAGCATGATCCCCATAGAATCCCTCATTTGTCGTAAGAACCCGCATAATCCCCGTATATTATCGTGGCAACATATCCCGAATTCCTGAACCCTACACCTCAAATCCTACATGATTGGAACCCTAAGCCCTAAGCGAAAATCTTAAACCCTAAACCCTANNAAACCCTAAGCCTTAAATCCCTAAGCCTTAAATCCCAACCCTATACTAAGCCCTTATGACTCATAGAAAACCCTACCTCCCAGGGCTCCGATTCCTGGGCCTGTGGGCTTCGGCCCCCACTGGGCGCCGACGTGGGGGGGTTGTACCTCGGAGCATAGGGTTTTTTGTTGAGGGTTTAGAGATCAGGATTAAGGGACTAGGATTTAGGGTTTAGGCGGGTTCAGGGTATATAGGGTTTAGGGTTCAGGGTCTTTAAGGTTTGGGGCATAAGGATTAGGGTTCAGGGTATACAGCATTTAGGGTATAGGATTCAGGTTTAGGGTCTACCTCAGCGCTTTTCATGGACCCGTTTCAAGGTTTTTGTCGAGCGCGCAATCTAGAAGCCTAAATAACTTATCTCCTTACAATCTCAGTGTGGCTGTAGAAGAATATCTTTCAAAATGCTGTTAAGCTGTTGAGGGCCCTACCATTGGAAAAAGTTTGTTATACATGGATTTGTGAGTCCTTGCTTTCAAGAGTGCAAGGGGAAGCTTTGTCTCTAGCTTTCTGCATAGGAGTGCTAAGATTGGCTCAGTTTGGGGTTTGGGGTGCCCATGTATAGAGGTTGTTCAAAACGATGGCCTGTTTGGAGTAATTACCTTGAATATTGGAGCAGCCATGGGGGAGTGTTATCACGAGGAGCCAAAAAGGGACCAACTAGTAGTCACAGTAGTCAGCAAGAAATACTTGACTTTGCTAATCCTAGAACAAGGAACATCAGTTTTCTTGGTTGTGCAAAGCATCACGGTTCGACTGACCATTTTATTCTTTGATTAGGATTTAGGGTATAGGGTTGTGAGATGTGCAAAGATTCAGCAAAACGTAGGTTCCTCTTTCTGAGCTTTTTGTTGGAATACGGGGGTCCATTATGGATTGCCCTGTCTCTGAATTGTAAGTTGAGTTACAGATTCCCCTACTGCCCTCTCCCCCGCCGCCCTCACTAGCTAGGGCTGATCAACCTCAATTGAGGGGGAACCTGGGGGAAGGGGGAGCCTCGGTGGTAGTGTAACAGACTCCCATGGAGAGATGCGTGGCGCAGAGGCCTGAACCCCCCGGCCTTCAATCCCTGGATGCGGCCACCAGGATTACCACTTTTCATGTCTAAGCTTTGGGTTTCGGGCTGTTGGGAGGTTCAGGAGGTCTTCGCTTAGGATGTCTAGGGTTGGCGGTTTTGGAGTCAATGGGCCTTGCGTTTAACTCGGGGTAGTGGGCAAAGGCAACCAGGACAAGTTGCTTCGTAATATGGGGGTTAGACAGCTGATAATGGAAAAGAAAATGAAAACTACTAAATCCTTAAACCCTAAAGGAGGATGGCTAGGCTGCGGACTAAGGTTGACAAGGGTTCAAAGGTTGAGGGGCTACACAGTTAGGGATATGGTAGGTTCCCAGACCCAATATAGACCCCAAAGTACTCTAACCAGACCTATACGGACATTATAAAGAGGCGGCAGCGTTCCCAAAGGTTTTGTTGGCGTATGCTTCCTTGATGAATCAGACCCATGGTCTTCACATGGTCACAATTACAAAGGGCCTTGTCTCAAAATGGAGGTCCCATCAAAACCCTGGGATCTTGCTATGAGACGACTTGAGAGGATTCCCAACGTTGAAGCTGTTGAAGCATAGATACTCCCTCTGACCACATTTGCCTCCTCCGAAAGGCACCTGTGAGGAGTTTAAGCGACTGGCGCACTTCCTCTCTTACAGCTCGATCCAGATTTCTTAAAGCAAGCCACCTTGATAAACCGCAAGTTACAAAAGCCAGCCACCTTAATGAGCTGCAACTCCTCTAGGGGGAGGCCCCAAACCACATGCCCAATATCTTCATGCCTCTTACCCGAAGACTCAGACCGTTTATACTTCCTCCAGTGCCGGCATTCCTTGCCAATCCTTTTCCTTACAACGTACTATTTGAACCTTGAGCCTTAAACCCCAATTCGAATGCATCTACGGCCTGTGCAGGCTTTGGTGCGCCGTACCATCCTCGTCCACCGGCGCAGTCTCAGTCGCACCCCGGCAAAAGTCAGGAGATGTGCGTTCAACATGTGGCCCCCGACAAGCCACTCGGGACAGCCCTCACGAAATCGTGCTGTTGAAATACTGACAGCGCTAGCAACAAGAAGGCCCAAAACCCCAAGACTTGAATCCGACCATACTACAAGCGTTCGCACAGGAGGTTGCTATTCTGCTTTCAATGTTGAGGCACTGAACCAAGTTCGAAGGCCCGTACGATAGCAGTTGCTATTTTGCATGTGCCCGGTATTTAGGTTTCCCAAAATTAGGGTCCCTTGTCGGGGTCCCTACAATAACGATTACAGTATATTGGGGCGGGGGGTTTACAAAAAAAGTTCCCCATCTTGGAAGCCCCCTGACAGATCCTATAGCATGAAAAGCGGTCATGGCATGCACAGTCAAAGCTGGTCCAAAATGTGAAATCCTAAGCCATAAACCCCAAATTCTAAACCCTAAGCCGCAAATCCCCAACCCCAAACCCTAAACGGTCCTAAACCTTTGCAAGGGCTCCCGCACCTAGAGCCCCTTGGCCGCCGAAGAGCCGTGACGAAGCGATGTGCTCCCGGCATTTGAATTTCCCGGCATTTGAATTACTTGGGTTAGTAGGGAATAAGGGCATATATTGGGATTATATAGGAATAATGGAAAAGGAAACGGAAACTACCACATTATAGCAGGGTATAAATTGGGGGCTATAGCAGGGAATAAGGGAATATATTCTGTANNTCCCTTATTCCCTACTAGCCCCAATTAAGTTGAATTGCATTAAGGGTCCAAGTACCCCAATTGGACGAGGTTTGGGGGTTCGGTTCGGATAGAGGCTTCAGGGTGCAGATTTTAACCTTAGACCCTACACCTAAACCCTGAGCAGGTTTAGGCTGCATGTTTCAGTGTCTAAAGTTGCAGGTTGGCGGCCAAAGTTTTACGTCTGAGTTGAGGGTTTAGGGGACAAATTACCAAAGTAGCAGTTACTGAGTTTAAGTACCGCAAGAGTAGTTCCTGAAGTTGGGAGCAAAGTACATACGACTTGGGTACTTGGCTCCTTGAGTAGAAGGGTGTGAAGGTGTGAAGCCTGGTGAGGGCTCAGGGATCATGATATATACGGTTAAGAGTGTAGGAAGTAGAGTATAAAGACGAAAGCATTCTGGTTGTGAGGGGGGGGCTCGGGTTGTGGGGGGGGGGGGGGGCT